TCCTCCTCCTCCTCTTCCTTCTCCTTCTCCTGATTCTTATTCCTCCTCCTTCTTCTTCTTCTCCTCCTCCTCCTCCTCCTCTTCTTCTTTTTCTTCTTCTCCCTCTCCTTTTTCTTCTTCTCCTTCTTCTCCTCCTCCTGATTCTCCTTCTCCTGATTCTTATTCCTCCTCCCATTCCTCTTCCCCTCCTCCTCCGCCTCCTCCTCTTCTTCTTCTCCTCCTCCTCTTCTCCTTCTCCTCCTCCTCCTCCTCCTTCTTTCCTCTTCCTCTTCTTCTCCTTCTCCTTCTTCTCCTCCTTCTCCTCCTCTTCTCCTTCTCCTCCTCCTCCTTTCCTCTTCCTCTTCTTCTCCTTCCCCTTCTTCCTCCTCCTCCTCCTCCTCCTCCTAAGAGATTTTGATCAAGTCTACTTACCAATGACGGTGGGCTCCAGATCCACGAACACCGCCCGAGGCACGTGCTTCCCGGAGGCCGTCTCGCAGAAGAAGGTCTCGAAGGAGGAATCCACTTGCTCGGTTTCGGGCGCGGCCTTCGGAGGGGCTTGGTTGGCCAGGATGGTGCCATCCGCCTGAATCCCATGTTCCAGGCAGTAAAGTTCCCAGCAGGCATTCCCCATTTGGACTCCCGCCTGACCGATGTGGATCGAGAGACATTCCCTCTGGAAAAGAACAGAGAGGACCAACATGTAACATCTGGCTAAATTTTAATCCTCTGCATTTCAGGGAGTTTTTTTTATAACCTTGGAGTGGTGCGGTGGCCTAGAGGTGGAGCTCTGGCCTCATAATCCGGAGGCTGCGAGTTTGATCCTAGGTAGAGGGCAGATATTTCTCTCTCTAGGCACAATGAGAATAGATCTGCCGAACAAAACTCCGCACTGGTGACAGGAAAGGCATCCGGCCAGTAAAACACTCAGCTCCATTCAGTTGCCCAGACTCCACCCTGATGCAAGGGATTATGGGGTCATTAAAAGAAGAAGATGATGATTTTGATTTTTTTACCTCATGTAGATTGGGGAGACCTAGTTTAGTAGTATAGGTAGTCCTTGACTCGCGACCGTACTGGAATTTCTGTCGTAGGGCATGACCGTTGTAAGTCGAAGCACCCAGAAAACTGACGTGATTTTACATTTTTGGAGGGCCGTTGTTAAGCAAAGGTCACACAGATAAAGCGAATGTGGCGGACGTTAAACAAAACTGTGGTAGTTAAGTGAAATAATACAGGCCATCCTCGACTTACAACAGTTTACTTACTGAACATTCAGAGTTACGACGGCACTGAACAAAGTGACTTATGACCATTTTTCACACTTATGACCATTGCAGCATTCCCGTGGTCACGTGATTTTCCCCTTTACGACCTTCTGACAGACAAAGTCAAGGGAGAAGCCAGATTTACTTAACAATCAGGCTACTAACTTAATAAGTGCCGTGATTCACTTAGCAACGGTGGCAAGAAAGGTCATAAAAGGGGGCAAAACTGATTGAAGAACGGTTTCGTTTAGCAACAGAAAGGTTGGGCTCATTTGAGGTCGTAATTCGAGGACGATCTGCATCCAATGGAAGAAAATTATCCCGGTTTGTTATTTGTCCAGGCAGTCCTCGACTTACGACCACAACGGAGCCCCAACATTTCTGTCGTTAAGTGAGACGTTTGTTCAGTGAATTTTGCCCCATTTTATGAACTTCCTTGCCACGGCCGTTAAGCGAATCACTGCAGCTGATAAGTTAGTAAGCCGGTCGTTAGGTAAATCTGGCTTCCCCGTTGATTTGGCTTGTCAGACGGTCGCAAAAGGGGGGTGGGGGAAATCACGTGACCTTAGGACACAGCAATGGTCATAAGTATGAACCAGTTGTCCGGATTTTGATGACGATGCCTGGAAAGGTCGTAACAGCGAAAAACGGTCCCAAGTCCCTTTTTTTGCAGTGCCGTTGTAACTTTGAAATGGTCACTAAACGAACCGTTGTAAGTCAAGGACTATCTGTAGATCCCTTTTACTTACAAAGACATCACCCGATTTTTTTTATACGTGCACCATAAAATCTTTTCCCCTACGTGCGTGATGGCAAACCTATGTCACACGTGCCACAGGTGGCACGCGTAGCCATATCGGTGAGCAGGCAAGCTCAGCTCCAGCGGGCATGCACACGCTGGCCAGCTGATTTTCAGGTCTTCTGGGCCCACCGGAAGTTGGGAAACAGGCTGTTTCTGGCCTCTGGAGGGCCCCTGGGGGGTAGGGAAGGCTGTTTTAACCCTCCCCAGGCTCCTAGAAAGCCTCTGGAGCCTGAGGAGGGTGAAAAACGGGCCTTCTGGGCCCACTGGAAGTCGGGAAATGGGCTGTTTCTGGCCTCCAGAGGGCCTGTGGGGGAGTGGGGAAGCAGTTTTCTCCCTCCCCAGGATCCTAGAAAGCCTCTGGAGCCTGGGGAGGGCGAAAAACGGGCCTTCCGGGCCCACTGGAAGTCCGGAAATGGGCTGTTTTGGTCTCCAGAGGGCCTGTGGGGGAGTGGGGGGAAGCAGTTTTCACCTCCCTAGGCTCCTAGAAAGCCTCTGGAGCCTGAGGAGAGCAGAAAAAACGGGCCTTCTGGGCCCACTGGAAGTCGGGAAACAGGCTGTTTCTGGCCTCTGGATGGCCCCTGGGGGTAGGAGGGAAGGCTGTTTTAACCCTCCCCAGGCTCCTAGAAAGCCTCTGGAGCCTGAGGAGGGCGGAAAAACGGGCCTTCTGGGCCCACTGGAAGTCAGGAAACAGGCTGTTTCTGGCCTCCAGAGGGCCTCTGGGCGAGTGGGGAAGGCCGTTTTCGGCCTCCCCAGGCTCCTAGAAAGCCTCTGGAGCCTGAGGAGGGCGAAAAATGGGCCTTCTGGGCCCACTGGAAGCCGGGAAATGGGCTGTTTCTGGCCTCCAGAGGGCCTGTGGGGGAATGGGGAAGCAGTTTTCGCCCTCCCCAGGCTCCTAGAAAGCCTCTGGAGCCTGAGGAGGGTGAAAAACGGGCCTTCCGGGCCCACTGGAAGTCGGAAAACGGGCTTTTTTTGGCCTCCAGAGGGCCTGTGGGGGAGTGGGGAAGCAGTTTTCGCCCTCCCCAGGCTCCTAGAAAGTCTCTGGAGCCTGAGGAGGGTGAAAAACGGGCCTTCCGGGCCCACTGGAAGTCGGGAAATGGGCTGTTTCTGGCCTCTGGATGGCCCCTGGGGGGTAGGGAAGGCTGTTTTAACCCTCCCCAGGCTCCTAGAAAGCCTCTGGAGCCTGGGGAGGGCGAAAAACGGGCCTACCGGGCCCACCGTGCCATCATGTGCCAAAAGTGGGGGGAGCATGGGGGGTCACACGCACAGGGGGCAGGGCACATAGAATTATGAGTGTGGGCACGCACGCACACGCCCCCCCCCCCGCACTCCCCCCACTTTTGGCACGCAATGGCAAAAAGGTTAGCCATCACTGCGCTACGTCATTCTCGTTACGTAAGTTATCATTTTTTATTTTTTTTTTATTAAAAAGTTTTATAAGAAATACAAACAATTTTCTCCCCCCCACCCTTCCCCTTCCCCCCATAAGCTATCATTTTTAAACCCACTTTCAAATCGATCGGAATCTTCAAAATGAGTAGTTAAAATAAGAAATATTAAAAATATAAAACGGGGTAGATTTATTATTTTTTTTTAAAAAAAAGATGGTTTTGCAAATCTAGAAAACTCCACAGCCTCGACGCAAACGACACTTGGCTGCTGATCCTTTTCCTTTCAGCTTCTCTTACCGTCAACGTTTTTCGCTTCGTAATTTGTTTTTTTTCTGCAATTTGCATAATACTGCCTTACCCTGGAAAAGGGGTGTGGGGGGGGAGACATGGGTGTGGGTTTGCGCGCAGCAGAACATCTGTGAATTATTTCGTCCCGTTTGAGAGTTTGCCAGAATAGATTTGAAAAGAATGTTTTACCCCGCGGAGTTCCAAGCTGACTCCTCAACTTTTAAATCCCAGGTTTTCTAGCAATAATTATTACTTTTTTTGGTGTGTGTGTCGAAGAAAACTGGGCATAATGGGGAAGAGGTTCTTTGGATTTCAAATCCTCGACTTCTGTCACTAAACAAGTCGGTTATTAAGTGGGTTGCAGCCGATTTCACAAGCTCTCGCTGCAATCCGTCAGTGAATCACATGAGCACGGGTAGTCCTCGACTTACGACCAAGATGGAGCCCAACATTTCACGTGACCCCGGGAACTTGCAACCGTCATAAATATGAGTCAATGGCCTGAATGTAAATTACGTGACTATATGGATGCGGCAGTGGTTGATAAGTGTGAAAAATGGTCATGAATCATTTTTTGCAGTACCGCTGTAACTTCGAACGGTCAGTAAACGAATGGCTGTAGGTTGAAACTACCTGTCTGTACATCAGTGTCATAAGTTGAGGACTATCTGTATCAATTTGCCATGAGCGCAGGCTGATGGATATAGAGAAATATCTCGTTTTTCTGCTTAATAAACCACTCTTAAAGGAAGTTAGACCAAGAAAACAGAGCTCAGAGCGCAAGATAATTTCTAAGGCCAGGGGTCTCCAAAGGTGGCCATTTTAAGACTCGTGGACTTCAATTCCCAGAATTCCTCAGCCAGCCAAGCTTCATAACTTTAAGACATGAGGACTTCAACTCCCAGAATTCTCCAGCCAGCCAAACTTTGTAACTTTAAGACATGAGGACTTCAACTCCCAGAATTCCCCAGCCAGCAAACTGGCTAAGTATTAAAACAGGAGGACTTCAACTCCCAGAATTCCCCAGCCAGCCAAACTGGCTAAGTATTAAAACAGGAGGACTTCAACTCCCAGAATTCCCCAGCCAGCCAAACTTGCTAAGTATTAAGACATGAGGACTTCAACTCCCAGAATTCCCCAGCCAGCCAAACTTGCTAAGTATTAAGACATGAGGACTTCAACTCCCAGAATTCCCCAGCCAGCCAAACTGGCTAAGTATTAAGACATGAGGACTTCAACTCCCAGAATTCCCCAGCCAGCCAAACTGGCTAAGTATTAAGACATGAGGACTTCAACTCCCAGAATTCCCCAGCCAGCCAAACTGGCTAAGTATTAAGACATGAGGACTTCAACTCCCAGAATTCCCCAGCCAGCCAAACTTCGTAACTTTAAGATATGAGGACTTCAACTCCCAGAATTCCCCAGCCAGCCAAACTTGATAGGTTTTAGAACGAGGACTTCAACTCCAGAATTCCCCAGCCAGCCAAACTTCGTAACTTTAAGACATGAGGACTTCAACTCCCAGAATTCCCCAGCTAGGATCGCGTTGAAGTCCACCCATCTTTATGTTGCCAAGCTTGAGAAAAGCACCAATCACAGAGACTCCAACTGCGTGTGACTCAAAGGCATCTCTTACCTAGTTATACAGGTGGTCCTCGACTTACGACCACCGTTGAGCCCAAATTGTTGCTAAGTGAGTTTTGCCCCATTTTAGGACTTTTCTTGCCACACTGGTTGAGGGGATCCCGAAACTTGTTAAATTAGTGACACGGTGGTTAATTGAATCCGGCTACCCCGTTGACTTTGCTCGTCAGACGGTCGCAAAAGGGGATCATGGGACGCTGCCACCGTCATAAATACGAGTCCGTTGCTCAGCGTTTGATTTTTGATCACGTGATCCTGGGACACTGCGACCGTCATAAATATGAAGCGGTTGTCAAGCATCCGAATCATGCATCAATTACATGATTTATGGGGATGCTGCAATGGTCGTAAGTGTGAAAAACGGTCAGAAGTCCCTTTTTTCAGTGCCGCCGTAACTTTGAACGGTTACTAAATGAACTGTTGTAAGCCGAGGACCCTCTGTACCTCCCTGTGCAGATACGCTTCAACTTACAATCATTCGTTCAACGACCAAAGTTACAACGGCCCTCGAAAATGGAATTACGACCATTTTTCACACTTAATGACCATTGCAACCTCTTCGTAGTCATGTGATCCCCGTTTTTGCAAACTTTCTAGCTGCCTTCCGACAACCAAAGTCAACGGGGGAAGCCAGCTTCGCTTAATGACCATGCGATTCACTTAACAACCAGAGCGATTCACATCACATCACATCTGCAGTAAGTCGCTTAACCATCGTGGCTAAAAATGTCACCAAAAAAAAAAATCAGTCTCACTTAACAACCAACTTCGCTTATCAAGGAAATTCTTCTGGTCTCAGTCCTGCTGTAAAAGGACTGCAGGTAGCCCTCGACTTACGACAATTCATTTAGTGACTGTTCAAAGTTTCCACCGCCTTGGAAAAAAGCGACCGAGAAACGTTTTTCGCGCGCTTAATGGCCACTGCAGCATCCCCCACAGTGACGTGATCGAAACTCAGACCCTTGCCAACTGTGACTCGTATTTATGACGGTCGTAGCGGTCCTGGGATCATGTGGTCCTCTTTTGGTGACCTTCTGACAAGCAAAGTCAACAGGGGAAAGCCGGATTCCCTTAACGGCCGTGTTGCTAACTTAACAACGGCATCGATTTCACTTAACAACGGCGGCAAGAAAAGTGGCGAAACGGTGGCGAAACTCACTTAACAAGGCTCTCCCTTCGCAACAAGACACGTTGGGCTCAGTTGTGGTCGTAAGGCGAGGACTCTACCTTGAGCCATGTGGGAATATATATATATATATATATATATGAAATTTATATATATGAAATTTTTATATATATATATATATATATATGTGTGTGTGTGTGTGTGTGTGTGTGTGTATATGAAAGCTTCACTCTATGACCGAATTCATCCAGAGGGCCACAGAGAGAACCTCGGTTTCATGCTTAGCGCCATCCTCTGCCCGCAGCTGAAAACCACCGTTCCCAAAGAGGCATGCAGGCCTCTATTTTTATTTTATTTATATTTTGCTTTGTCTCCTGGCCTGGCCATCTAGGGTAGACCTTCTTGGCCAATTTTGCCGGATTCTCCCGGCGGCCATGTGTGCTCCCTCGCACGCTCGCTCGACAAGTGTGCCAAGAGGCACCAGCTGTCCTGCACCAAACAACTGCTGCTATTTGTATGATTTCGTCTTCCACGGGGCAAAGCTCGGATGCCCCTCTGGAGTGGCAGCTCCCGGCGGCTGCCTCATTCGCACATGCCTTCCGAAACCTCAAAAACTGCAAAATAGATCTCGGCTCAATATGACAGATATCTTAAATTTGCTAAAAGAGGACGGGGCTCCTTTCTCCATTTAAACTTCTGCCCCCCTCCCCGCCCCCTCAAAACTTCCCGCTAACGGTACAGCTTCTGGTGGCAAGGAGTTCCACTGGTGAATTGTTCTCACGGTCAGGAAGTTCCTCCTTAATTCTAGATTGTTTCTCTCCTTGATCAGTTACTATTTCTTTCCCCAAGGTTTGAACTAGAGAATAATAGAATAAAAGAACAGAGTGGAAGGACCTTGGAGGTCTTCTAGTCCAACCCCCCCAAATGAATGGCTATCCAATCTCTTCTTAAAAGCCTCCAGTGATGGAGCACCCCCAACTTCTGGTGGCAAGGAGTTCCACTGGTTAATTGTCCTCACTGTCAGGAAATTTCTCCTTAATTCTAGATTGTTTCTCTCCTTCATCAGTTACTATTTCTTTTCCCAAGGTTTGAACTAGAGAATAATAGAATAAAAGACCAGAGTGGAAGGGACCTTGGAGGTCTTCTAGTCCAACCCCCCCAAATGAATGGCTATCCAACCTCTTCTTAAAAGCCTCCAGTGATGGAGCACCCCCAACTTCTGGTGGCAAGGAGTTCCACTGGTTAATTGTTCTCACTGTCAGGAAATTTCTCCTTAATTCCAGGTTGCTTCTCTCTTTGATCAGTTTCCAACCATTATTTCTTGTCCTGCCTTCTGGTAGTTTGGAGAATAATTTGACCCCCCTCTTCTTTGGGGCAGCCCCTCAAATACTGGAAGACTGCTATGATGTCACCCCTTCTTATCATTAAACTAGACATATCCAATTAAACTTAGTTTGGCTTGGGAAGCTAGGAAGAGTCCACACTCCAATCTAGCTTAAACTGCGCCAACTTTCTCGAGCCAGCTCAAAAAGTAAACTGACAGCGGTTTCTTGGATTCAAAACAAGGTGATCTGCCAACATCCGAAGGGGGAAAAAAAAATACTTTTTTGCAGTCCCACCCACCCCAAAAAGTTGACTAATAGGCAATGCAATCAGTACAGTCTCTCCGGAGCTTTCGTCCCTAGCAGTTTCTAATTTCGCTTTTAAAAGTTTCCCAGCTTTGGGACCCTTTCCTCCGATCAAAAAGAGTTTGCAAAAAAATACAAAAAAAAGCAAAGACATTTTTTTTTTTTTTTGGTCTTCAGTTTATCAAACCTTTGGGATTAGAGCAAACAAAGGCAATATGGCAGTTTCCTCTTATCCAGAGACGGAGAAAGGGGAAATTTTTTCTCTCTCTCTCTCTCTGTATGCTAAAGTACAGTAATGTTAGTTCACCCTGTTCGTAGCGACAGGGTAAAATAATACTGAGAAAGAGACCAAAAAAAATAATAATAATAATTGTGGAATTTACTGTACGGTCACATTTTTTTCCCCCTTAGCCTCTGAAGATACCCACTGGGTGGGGAAAAAAAGTGTCCCAAGCCAGACCCCTAAAACTTTGCAAGAAACTCAGCTGCACTGGGAAAGGATAAGGGGCGGCTGCCAAAAAGGGAGAGACCCCTTCCCCAAACATAATACCCCCCCCTTTTTTTTTCCTGGAGGTTACTTTTTCGCCTTATAAGGAGCAGATCGTCCAAAGGAAAATCTTCGGCCGTACCTGCTTCCCCCCCCAAGAAATAAACTTTATAAAAAGTTTCCGAGGGGGATGCTTCCTTCTCCCTTCGGGGCAGTGGCAGCCCCTTACCCCTGATTTCAGCCTGCCCCACAAACCACCCCACGACCCAGACTGTGGGGCTTACCATGATGCCTGTATCGGGATTCCAGCGAAGCAGCTGCTGGCTTCCCTCCCTGCAAATTTATAACCCAAGCAAGAGCAGACTCCACCTGAAAAATGAAGTCTTGGGCTCATTTAAAGCAACAGGCACACTTTCAAGGAAAGGGGCGGGTTAGGTTGGGGGGGGAGAGGAAATTGGGGTAGGGACGTGGTCAGATTTCACGCTCGTTGTTTATTCCACCCGCCAATTGGGTGAGAAATCACACAGACACACACACACTGGGAATTCCTCCGAGCTACCATCATCAAAATATCTACAGACCACTTGCATCCTGGACATAAATTGTTTCAACCCCTACCCTCAGAACGACGTTATGTAGGGCATTGCACACCAAGACAACTAGACACAAGGACAGTTTTCGGCCGCATGCCGTCACTCCGCTAAACAACTAATTCCCACAACACTGTCAGATACTAAGTGATACTAAGTGATACTAAGACTGTATCACTATTCTTTTTCTTCTTCTCATCCTTCCTATTAACCACCACCTTTTCTCCTTATGATTATAACCTTGTTGCTCGTATCGTTATGATTTATATTGTTTTATTTAGTTTCCCAGTATGACTTTGATTGCTTATTTAGTGTCCTCTGACTATCCCTAAGTGTTATACCTTATGATTCTTGATGAATGTATTTTTTATGTACACTGAGAGCTTATGCACCGCAGACAAATTCCTTGTGTGTCCAATCACATTTGGCCAATATTCTATTCTATTCTATTCTATTCTATTCTATTCTATTCTATTCTATTCTATTCTATTCTATTCTTCTATTCCATTCCATTCCATATATTCTATTCTATCTATTCTTCATTCCAAATTCTATTCTATTCTATTCTATTCTATTCTATTCTATTCTATTCCTATTCTGTTCTATTCTATTCTATTCTTATTCTATTCTTATTCTCTTCTCTTCTAATTCTTATTCTTATTCTTATTCTTATTCTTATTCTTATTCTATTCTATTCTATTCTATTCTATTCTATTCTATTCCTATTCTATTCTATTCTATTCTATTCTATTCTATTCTATTCTATTCTATTCTATTCCTATTCTGTTCTATTCTATTCTATTCTATTCTTATTCTATTCTTATTCTCTTCTCTTCTAATTCTTATTCTTATTCTTATTCTTATTCTTATTCTTATTCTATTCTATTCTATTCTATTCTATTCTATTCTATTCTTATTCTTCTATTCTATTCTATTCTATTCTATTGTATTCTGTTTCTTATTCTATTCTATTCTATTCTATTCCATTCAGTGGTGAAATCCAATTTTTTTTTACTACTGGTTCTGTGGGCGTGGCTTGGTGGGCGTGGTGTGGCTTAGTGGGCGTGGCAGGGGAAGGATACTGCAACATCTCCATTCCCACCCCACTCCTGGGGTAAGGATATTGCAAAATCCCCATTCCCACCCCACTTGGGGGCCAGCCAGAGGTGGTATTTGCTGGTTCTCCAAACTACTCAAAATTTCCGCTACCGGTTCTCCAGAACCTGTCAGAACCTGCTGGATTTCACCCGATTCTATTCTACTCTACTCTACTCTACTCTACTCTACTCTACTCTACTCTACTCAACTCAACTCAACTCAACTCAACTCAACTCTCCACTGTGCTCCAGTCTACTCCACTCCACTCCACTCCACTCCACTCCACTCCACTCCACTCCACTCCACTCCACTCTACTCTACTCTACTCTCCACTCTGCTCCAGTCTATTCCAGTCTACTCCACTCCACTCTACTCTACTCTATTCTATTCTAATATTCTATCTCTATCTCTATCCTATCCTATCCTTAGGATTGGAGGCTGGTGGGTTTCCTGGTTAGAGCAACCTGGCACGAAGTTGGGCTAAGCAGAAATTCAACAAATTGGAAAGCTAGTTTCGAAAACCCGTGGACTTCAACTCCCAGAATTCCCCCAGCCAGCCATATATGGCTGGCTGGGGGAATTCTGGGAGTTGAAGTCCATAGGCTTTCAAATTGCCCTGGATGAACAGCTTTGATTCTAGTGGCTCCTGCAGAGATGGTCCTGAGGAAAGCTAACCCCCCCCCTCCATCTTGTAGATACATCTAAGGACCATGGATGGTATATCAAAACTTCAAAGGGCTTTGAGGAAAATCCTCCAATCACCACGTTTGCAGAGCCCTTCCGATCTGGAATTAATATCTGCAGACCCCTCACATCCCGGACATAAATTGTTTCAACATTTCCCCTCAAGACGACGCTATATAGGGCATTGCACGCCAAAACAACTCAACACAAGGACAGGTTGCGTCCCCCTGCCATCCCTCTCCTAAACAACTAAATCTCCCAACCCTCGTCTTATGCCCTGGGATGTCAAACCACTTAGTAGGGCTGTATTATTATTATTATTATTATTATTATTATTATTATTATTATTATTATTATTATTATTATTATTATTATTATTACTATCCTTCTCCTCTTTCCTATTACCTCTGTCCTTTAGCTCCTTGGGACTATCGCTTTGTGGCTTGTGTCTCGTGATTTGTGTTGCTTGCTTTTATTTAATATCCTATTAGGATTTACATTGATTGCTTATTTGGTATCCTATGATTTATGATGATTGTACTTTATGATTGTGATTTGTCGCATGTGGCTTGGATAAACATCTACAAGAAAACAACCAAGCTCAGAGATCACCAAGGACCCCACATTCTTCTCTTCTCCTCCTCCTCCTCTTCCTCCTCCTCCTCCCCACTCCCTTGTAACACTGATGATGTTCCCTGGTTGGGTCATGAAAGAAAACCACCAAACTCAGAGAGCACCAAGGACCCCACATTCTTCTCCTTCTCCTTCTCCTTCTCCTTCTCCCTCTCCCTCTGCTTCTCCTTCTCCTTCTCTTTCTCCTTCTCTTTCTCTTTCTCCTTCTCCCTCTCCCTCTTCCTCTGCTTCTCCTTCTCCCTCTCCTTCTCTGTCTCCTTCTCTTTCTCCTTCTCTTTCTCCTTCTCCTTCTCCCTCTCCCTCTGCTTCTGCTTCTCCCTCTCCTTCTCCTTCTCTTTCTCCCTCTCCCTGCTTCTCCTTCTCCTTCTCTTTCTCCTTCTCTTTCTCTTTCTCCTTCTCCCTCTCCTTCTCCTTCTCTTTCTCCTTCTCCCTCTCCCTCTGCTTCTCCTTCTCCCTCTCCTTCTCCTTCTCCTTCTCCTTCTCCCTCTCCCTCTGCTTCTCCTTCTCCCTCTCCCTCTCCCTCTCCTTCTCCTTCTCTTTCTCCTTCTCCTTCTCCCTCTCCCTCTCCCTCTGCTTCTCCTTCTCCCTCTCCTTCTCCTCTTCCTCACTCCCTTCTAACACTGATGATGTTCCCTAGTTGGGTCATGAAACGTCTGAAAGAAAACTAGCAAACTCAGAGAGCACCAAGAATCCCACAGTTCTCTTCCTCCTCCTCCTCCTCCCACTCCTTCTAACACTGATGCTGTTCCCTAGTTGGGTCATGAAACGTCTGAAACAAAACTGCCAAGCTCAGAGAAGCACCAGGGATCCCATTATACAGTAGCTATTTTGCAAAATTAGTGCTGCGCTAATTTGCAGTCAACATCTGAGCCCAGTTCCCAACACGGATCATGACGTTTGATGCCTGGCGAAGGGCAAGAGACAGCTACCCGAGGGACCACGTGTCCCAATTTGGGTCTGCCCGACCCGTGAGAACCCCTGGACTTAGGTCTGCCCTGGCACAAGCTCGCAGCACAGAAAAACGTTTTTCACCATTGCTCCACAGTATGGAATATGCTGACCGCAGGAAATGTACGACTGCGCCTTTTCTCGGGCATCCAAGAACATGTTCCAAACTGTTCTTGTTACACAGCCGGGAGGTAGGTGGAGATGGCATAATTTGATTCAAGGGTGCGCTTTTAATTGCATTCATTAAGGCGATGGGCAGGCCTCTTTTTTCCCTCTTCTGCCGTTTTGTCTTCACTCCTACGAACTTTGGAGCAAGGGAAGACCCCCCTCCAAGCAAAAAATAAATAAATAAACGAATCGCTGAAAATCATTTGTCTCTCACTTTAGATGCAAATCACAAGGATCAAAGTTATCCTGCTTCGGAGACAGGTCCTCAATTTACAACCAGTTCTTGTTCTGTCTTGGCCATGAAAAGCTAGCTGGGGGACTTAGGGTCAGTCACCAGGAGACTGGGCGTTCTAGTCCTGCCTTAGGCATGAAAGGCGGCTGGGTGACTTTGAGCCAATCACTAGGAGACTGGGCGTTCTAGTCCTGACTTCGGCATTGAAAGCCTGCTGGGTGACTTTGAGCCAATCACTAGGCGACTGGGAGTTCTAGTCCTGCCTTAGGCATTGAAAGCCTGCTGGGTGACTTTGAGCCAATCACTAGGAGACTGGGCGTTCTAGTCCTGCCTTAGGCATGAAAGGCGGCTGGGTGACTTTGAGCCAATCACTAGGAGACTGGGCGTTCTAGTCCTGACTTCGGCATTGAAAGCCTGCTGGGTGACTTTGAGCCAATCACTAGGCGACTGGGAGTTCTAGTCCTGCCTTAGGCATTGAAAGCCTGCTGGGTGACTTTGGGCCAATCACTAGGAGACTGGGCGTTCTAGTCCTGTCTTAGGCATGAATGGCAACTGGATGACTTTGGGCTAATCACTAGGAGATTGGGAGTTCTAGTCCTGCCTTAGGCATGAAAGGCAGCTGGGTGACTTTGAGCCAATCTCTCTCTATTTCTCTCAGCAGAACCCCACGTCACAGGATTGTTGTTATGGGGGAAATAAGAGGAGGAGGGTATGTTGGATATGTTTGCCGCCTTGAGTTATTTGTAAACATAATAAAGGAGAGAGACAAATAAGTAATAAGAGCCTGATGGCTCAGCAGACTAAACATTGTGATTAACACCAGTTGTCTGCAATTACTGTAAGTTCAAATCTCACCAGGCTCAAGGTTGACTCAGCCTTCCATCCTTTCTAAGGGAGGTGAAATGAGGACCCAGTTTGTGGGGGCAATAAGCTGACTTTGTATAAATATACAAAAGGATGAAGGCTATTGCTGAGCACATTGTAAGCCGCCCTGAGTCTCCGGAGAAGGGCGGCATATAAATCAAATTAAAAAAAAA